AAAATACATTTCCTCAAAGGAATCGTCAGTATCAGAATTAATATTAATAAAAGAGGCCATATTGAAAATAGAAAAGTTTTTGTTTTATGTATTATGATAATGATAAAAACAGAAAACAGCTAATACTAAAATATTCGCTTGCATAATTATTATGCTAATAATAATAATTATGTATCATGCATTACATAATTTTTGCATAAAATTTATTAGTAATAATAAATCAATTTTCAATTTTTAATAAATATATCGATCGATATTGTACATCAAGTAATTATATAATAACAATAATTATACAAACAGTATAGAGTATATTTATTAGTTATACATTCGGTATATACCACTATACATTATGTATAATATAGCATACTTGACATATTTGCGATTCTATACTATATATATATAATATAAATTCTATATTTATTGATATTAATATTATCATCATCAATATTTATGTTGTTCAGGAAGTCTGCTACGGCAGATGATTGCGAAATATTAGATTGGGACTTTTCAAGATATTCTAATCTTTCTTCAAGCAAGGTGACTTGGGATCTCAAAGTCAAATTTTTTAAAATATTAGCAATAATCATTAGCTGATATTTGTATTATAAATAATAAAAACATTATTGCTTACCTTCTTTCAATGCTCTTCTTTCTAAAATTGTCATATGATTAGATTCAAATTAATATTGTGCAGCTGATATCCATATCACTTTTATTATTATAATAAAAAAATGTATCATACCTTCAACATCCCTAGACCTAGCACGCTCATATGACCTTCTACAAGAAGGTGAGCAAGAATGGTAATCACGAGAATGGCGGGTATGAGAACAATGGGTTGAGAATGAGAATGATGGGTATGTGAACGAGAATGACATGTATGTGAATGAGAACGACGGCTGCGATAACGAGAGTGGTGTGTATAAGAACGAGGAGAAGGAGAGCATGAAGGTGAATCAAAAGAAGAATAAGAGCTAGAACGGGAATGTGAATGATGATTTTTTCTTGAATTCATTTTTTGGCGTAATCTTAAAGAAGGTGCAAAACAGAAAAGAGTTGATTTTCGCCCTATGATATGTTTATCAGAGAAAAAAAACCAAAATTTCCAAAATTTCAAAACTAAAAAAAAAATGAATATGAATAAATTTAAACAAACTAAATTATCATTATTTTTTTAAAAAAATATTACCTATATTGAAAATAGCGGTAAGAGAAAGAAGTTAAGAAATCTGATACTTCTATATTCTTTGAATAATCCTCAAAAAAAAAAAAAAAAAAAAAAACTCCCCCCCGAATGTGGAAAAATTATTTATCTATATTTAGAAATGTTGATAAGAAAGTAAAGTTAATAAATTCGATATCCTTATATTCTTTCTAATATGAATCTTAAAGAAAAAAGTAATTATTGAAAGAAGCGCCCACCTGTATTAGAAAGCTGATAGAAAAATTCAAAGAAAAAAATAAATAATTTGAACATAAAAGAAAAGCTATTTGAATAGTGAAAGAAATATCTACCTCTATTGGAAAAGTTATCAGGAAA